AATTTTTCTACTTTCTTTTTTTTCCCTCTAGTGAAGACAGCGGTAAAAGGAGAGGGAATGAGGATGAAGAAAAAAAGAAGAAAAAGAAGGAGAAGTGCTTACAAATGTTTGATGATTAGTTGTTTTGTGGAAGTTCAAACTAAATTACTTCTTAATTGAACCCAAACATTATTTTCTTGTTTTGGTACTTTTTCTTCCTCTTTCAATTACCTTATCGTCAATTTTCCTCTATTTTTTCCACCAACTTTTTTTTTTATTGTCGGACTTCTTTTCCTTTTTCCATTTTTTTTCTTTATTTTTAAAAGTTGAATAAATGTTTGTTTTGAAGAATAAATCAAAAAAAAGTATTGAACAGTTCTTTTGAACGCTTTTAGCAATGTTGTTATGTTTTTTTTTCTTTCTTTTTTTTACTGTAACTGTTGTGAGCAAAATTATTTCCGCTCTTATAAAGACGATTGAAAGATCAGTTTTTATTTCAAATTATCTATCATTCACTATTTGGTGAAAAAAAAAATGAAAAAAAAATTTTCTAAGTGTTACAGTTTAGATGCAAATTTTTTTCTTCATTTTTTTTTATTTTTAGAACGAGGTATGGCGAGAAATGAATATCAACGGATACTTTTCTGTGGTATGTTTTCGTTGCTCTTAATCTCTCCCATTGTTTTTTTGGTTTTGTTCAAAAGGGGAAAGTTGAAAAGCGCTGTTTTGGTTGTATCAATTCTGATTAACTGGGTTTGTTTGATTTACAAAATAATAAAAAAAGATGTAATTTTTTAAAATAGTATTGGTAAAAATTTCAATTATTCATTGAACAACTTAAGCGGGCACCAAAATTTTGTTCACGGTTTCTGGTAAGTTATATCGCTGGAATAGCAGATGTACCGTTGTATTTTATGCTCTGTTTTATACTCTGACCATCCCCATGAACAGCTGCTGATCAGTCAGGAGCTGAACAGTGTGAGTTCTTATTTTTAAAATTGTCAACAAAATGTTTCTTGCAGTCGTGGAAGGACAGAAGACTGAAGTGGGATCTTGGCGAGTGGAAAACTGATGTGCTCAATGTCAAGTCCTACGGCCGTCTTTGGGTTCCCGACATCAACTCTGACAAGTAGGCTAACAACAAAGTTCTGGCTAGTTTCATTTCTAGTCTGTTATTTAATTTCAGAAACCACTATTCTCTCTTTAGGCATCAGACTTCCGCTCAAGCTGGAGAATATACACAGTATCAGAATATATTGGTTAAGAATAATGGTAACGTTACTGCACGATTGGAATATAAGATTCAAGCACACTGTGAAATTGACTATACAAACTTCCCAGATGTATGGTTCAATTTGTTTTTTGTTTTCTTATCTATTTTTCTCCTCAACTCGCTAAAATGTTGCAAAACGTGTTGACAGTTTGTTCATCGTATTTGTTCTTGGTCACAAATTTGTCAACAGTTTCCGGAAAAGCAACTCATTTAAACAATTATTTGTTTTTATTAGTTGATTATAAAAACAGACCGTATTGAAGACCAAGGTTAAAAATTGTCTGCTTGTGGAGAGTGGCAAAGTTTTCAATTTATTTTCAACAGAATAAGTATTTTTGAAAACAGTAATTGGACGGCTAAAAGCTGTTTTTAATCACATTACTTTACGAAGGCAATATTTTAGAAATCATTTACAATTTTCTGAATTGTACAGGGTGGATTTGAAGTTGAATTCCTTTGCAGGATCACAAATACTGTTGCTTTAACATGAAATCTACGCTGTATCCACATTATATCAAATTTTTCCTTGTTCGCGGTGAAGGTATGACTCAGTACTGTAATGAATTTCATTTAATTCAATTTTTTTGAAAAAATTTCTCTAAAAAAAGAAATTTTTTTCGGATAAAGTTCAAAACAGTAGAGGAAAATTGCTAATAATTACAGATGGTGTTGACGTAAGCCACGTTAGAACAAACTGGCATATCGAGTCGGCAACTGTCAAGCAAACTCAGAACGAAGATGACAGAAAGTAGGGATTGTTGTTGTTTAGCGCTGCTATAATCATTGTCATTAAAAAGCGTAGGGGCTGGAATCCGCGTGTGGAAGATTAAGGCATAGTCAAAGCCTTGCACAAAATCTTTTTTTTTTTTTTTTGATTTGACGTTCTATATTAGACAAGGAACGCCTACAGGCCTGAAGTTTAGCTTTGAAAAGTTTCGTTGGTTAAAAAAATATATGTTTCTTGCCAAATGCTTTCGCAGTAATTCTGAGCTAAGTAAGTAAAAATGGCTTTGACTGAAACAAATGAAACAATGACTGAAGCAGGAACTGTCAATAGCAGAAAACTTGAGAGATTCAATAAGAAGATTTATATGAGACAAACTGATTTTAGGGCTCAAGTATTAAATATGTGTTTGACTGTTCGAAGACGGTCTACCACTTTAAGGATCGAGTTGACCATTCCGATGATGGTTTCCTCATTATTTGTTGTTATTGCTCCGTTCTTCGGAACATTTAAAGATCAGGTATTTGAACATTTTTTTCCTCCCTGCAACATTTTTTCCTTGAAAAACTATTTTAAACTGAGAATAATTTCTGAGGTTCTTCGACTAATTGAAATTTTGGAATTTAACCTTTTGCTTCAATTACTTTTTGGATAATATTGTTTAGCAAGCAGCATTATTTTTGGTCTTTGTGCAGTTGCATTATTTATTAGAGCAGTCACTGGAACGGCAAACAGAAGAAAAAAATTTTTTTACCAAAACCATAAATTTCTGATAACTAATAACTGAATGCCAATTTTAGCTAAACATTAAACTGTTCGCAATTCTTATTCAATTGCTCAGCTTTACCAATTTGGCCAGTAAGACCCCACAGGTCGGATTTGGTGACACAGTACCAAACATATGTAAGTTTACTGAATTTAATCAGCGCACTGACCCGCTGTAAAATACTTTATAGTTTGCAGAAAATTCGTTTACCTTTTCTATTAGTCGAAAGGTTTTAAAAAATTTATTCTTTCTTTGCAACCATCTGGAAAATTTTTTATTTTAGATGTTTTCTATGTTTTCACACTTGCAACTTCAGTAATTAGTCTGTTATTAACGCTTGTTATCAGTGCAATGTCTCGAATTCAGAGGAAATTACCACCAGGTAACCAATGCGCAATTATTTATTTTTCTAAATCAGAAATGTTAATCCTAATTATTTTATTTATTGTTTTTTAAATTTATTGACTTTATATGTCAAAAATTTCACTAACTATTAACAGTTATTTATACATATAAAATTATCAATTTGATATCGTTGTATTTTGCAGCACACCGTTATACACTGTTGGCTTCTGTGCTGAACACAAATCTGTGCTGTGGTAGCGAACCCGGAGCAATTACAGATGGTACATCAGGCAAAGATAATCAGAACGATTGGCTCCAGATTCATGTTGCCATTAATAATATTGCTTCATTTTTTATTCTTCTTGCTTACAGCATCGGTATTACGGTTATCCTGTGTAGCTAAAAAGTTACAGCAGACTGCAGTTCTGCTGATTTTCTCTACTGCTTATGAGGCCAAAAGACTGGTTTATGTAAATTCTGTGTTCAACAGGTGCTAAGACTGTCTAAGAACAGCATGAAGACTGTGATTTTCAAGAAATCTCGATGTCCAGTTTTATGGAATTATTATTTAAGAGGCATTCTATTGTATCTATTTAAGAATCACCCCAAAATCATCAATTTCCAATAAACTTATTGTTCTTTAAAAATTTACTAACAATGCAACGATTATTCAGCAGTTTAAAGGAACGGTAACCATGTCGGAAATTTTTCTGAACTGCAATTATAAAATACCTTAAACCTAATTTTTTTTTGCTCTCAAAAATAGTCGATAAAAAGCGGAAAAGAAGTTAAAAAGTGTTGTAAAATGACGAAAAAGTATTCAAAATTTGTAAAACCTTAGTGCAAAGTAGGATTTCAATGGTAGATTTATTTAAAGATTAAGGTCAAGCAGTAAATGGTTAATAGTTATGTTTGCCATTCAATTAAATTGATGTTGCAACTTAAAATTTGACAGGTCATCGCCGGTGCTTACCGGTCAATATGTGCAGAGCTTATCAGTAGATTATAAAGAAAGTTTCTGAATAAATACAACGAAATTGTGGACAATGTTTTTGTCAAAGCACCAGCCAGATATGTAGTTTTTTTTAAAAATAGATTTCTATTTTGTTGGGCAAAAGGAGGACAATCAAATTCGGTTTATAAAACAACAAAATGAAACAGCTGATCGAAGGAATTGCAAATGGAAACTGTGTGTGTACAACGTCTGTTTTTGGTTGCTCTTTTTGGTTGTTGTTGATAAATGAATAAGTGGAAATTTGAAATCAGAAAGACGTCATCAAATGTCAACAGTTTACTTTGTCAAATTTATTTATCTGAAAAAAAAATGTGTGTACAAAAAATTTTTTCTTAGCAAGTAAGAAATACGGAAAAAAACCCTCAAATAAAAATTTTCCAAAAAATCAAAAAAGAAGTGGTTGATTTAATTAAAAAAAAAACCAAAACTGGTAATATTAGTGGTTCCAAAGAAAGAAGAAAAACCCTATTTCAAAATTATAAAAGTTACAGGAAAAGTTTGTAGAAGAACTAAAAAAACAACAGAAGTGAGATGCTAAAAAAAGACCTGTTGCCCATAATCTTCAATGGCTGTTAATGTAACGTAACTGCATTAAGCAAGTTTCTTTATTTGTTTTCCTCCCTGCAAGAAAAAGAAGAAACCGAAGAAAAAGAAAAACATTACTAACTTTCGATGTTATTCTCTTTAAACAACGTTTTCGTAGTTGAATAGAGGCGAAAAAAAAGCATAATTGATGTTTTCGGAAAAAAAAGTGAACAACAACAACAACGAAAAAAAAAAAACACGAAAAGTAACAACAGCAAATTTTAAAGTACATTTATAATAGTTGCATTTTTTTGCCTGTTCTAAAGAACTTTGTTCTTAGATGGTTACAGAATCCTAAATCCCAGATGACGATTTGGCTGTCAACAGTGCAACACTTCATTTAACAGCCCAGTATCCGATGACAAATGTCAAACGGTTTAATAACGTTTTTACGATGACCATCATAGATCAAACTGTTAAACACTGTTGTAATCTCAAATTCCGCTGATTACCAATAGTCTTTTTTGCTACAGTTTTTTTTTCTGGGTCATATATGAAATTATTGCAACTTAGAGAAGAAAACAAACTTGAACAATATGTTTTATCGTTTGGCACAAAAACTTCTTTTATTGTTTTGAACAGATAATTAAGGAGAAACAGAATCAGAGGAAACGAATAATGAAATAAGCCAAAACTAAATAAAATAAGATAAAGTTTTGCAGTAATTTCACTTTGTTAGGCCAGGAATTTTGGTAGCGTTAAAGAATCTATGTTAGGGCATAGTTTATCGTGTCAAAAATCCCAAATTTAATAATCATAAAACATCATCAACATCATCAGCATCAACAACAACAACAACAACAAAAACGTCGGTAGCAACAGCAACAGCAAATAAAATAACGAAAAAAACAAAGCAAAATATTTTTAATTCCGCTAAAGAGAGTATTGTCTTCAAATTATACGCTAATGATGCCATCAGAAGATTATCAGCGTTAATCGTCGACAACCAAGGTTACAAGAAACGTCATTCTGCTGCTTATTATTCAGCCGAAGTACAACTGTTGTTCTTCTGCAGTTTTCCTTTCCTTTCCACTTCTTCGCCCTCTCTTTTGCCCAATTATTTTCATGATTTTTATTTCCATGACAAATTAACAGAAAAAGAAGAGAAAAAATAGCAATAGAAAATTGATAAAAAGAAGACGATAAGTTGAACTTATTCTTTCTTTTGTCAACAGTTTAGAAGGCTTGATTTTAGGCTGAATTGGTGCTGGAAATTGATAGCTGAAAAGAAAACAATTATGCAAAACAACGGCAAGAAAAACAACAGAAACAACAACATTTGAATACGTCATTGCTGTGTGTTTGTATTTAGGAGTGCGATCAAAGATCATCAAATAATTATGATGAGCAACAACATTTTTGTCACCTTTAAAAGCCACCAACAAATTCACCGAGCAGTTAGTTACAATTTTTGCAAGCGTTACAACAGTCAACGACAACATCAAACTTTGGCTAATATTTCGAGCAAAATTTACCATTACAATTAACGTATTCCAAAGACGTTTCAGCAACATTCTACTTTACCTCTGATAAAAACAGTGAGTATTACACCTGTTTCTGTGTTGCAATTTTTTGCTTCTCTTCTTGTCTTTAGCTTTGTATAAAATGGCTGCCGTATCAAAGATCTGTCATTGGCACAAAATGTTGCGAGCTCAAACTTCCACCGTTGTTGAATGGTGATTAATTTTTTCGTAAAACTATGATCAGTTTGATTTATTTGTTTTTTTTTTTTGTGATCTATAGAAGATATAAAGGTTTTTTTTTGGTTTTTAAGTTACCAAAAACTATGCGGTAGTTATGAGTATAGATTTTCCTGGATTCCTCCATTTTTCGTGTGACTGTCTTCATCAGTATGAACTTCTAAATTCATATTTTTTCCGACGTATCTTCTTCGTTTACAAGTGTTTTTTTTTTAGATTAACTGACAGTAGTGTTTGAATCATTGTAAAACAGAAAAATTTCTTCAACTGCATACCGAATAGTTGAAAGTATAAGTGGATAAGAAGGTTTCTTCTCATTTAAAGTGAATACCTAATGTAAAAACCAAATCAAAAAAAAAACTTTTTTCTCTATTTAACGCTTTAAAAAGTAAAAAAAAAAAGAAAATTTTGGGCCCAAAATTTTGGGATTATTTCGTAGAGATTTAAAATATTATGTTTATGTAAACGAATAAAAGAAGAGGGTGAACGTAAAATTTGTTATGACACTTTCTAAAGAGATACTTATAGTTTCTCTAATTTTTTTTCAAAACTATTAGAAATATTGAGTACAATAACAAAAAAAAAACAATTTATATATAGAAAAAACATATTACAAATGATTTATACATATATATTTTTTGTTTTTGTTTGTATAACTTCGTGCCACTTCTTTCTCTTTTTTGCTTTTCTCTAACTGAATATAATATATCGAGGTTTGCGGCTGAAAAAAAATTTTTAATCTGATCTTTAAATGCCGATTATTGTGTTTTGTCGGACTTCAAAAAAAAAAAAA